TGTATAACAAATCAGGAAGCTGAGTTGCAAACATGGCATAGTCTGGTAGCATATATTAACATAAAGTTTGGTCCTGCACTGGGAGCATTTACTTGTGTTCATTTGTGAAACTTTCTGCATGAAGTGGGATGGTGGGTTTGAAACCCTTATTTCTGAGGATATTTGATGGTTTGTTTTATACACATGAACTACTAAACATCTGGGATGCTGCTTCTAAAGATGCTTTTTTTAAAGTATCATATTAAAAGTCTCCATGAGTGATGCTGTTGATGGAATCAAGACACATTCAAGGTGCAGGACTTTAAGTAATCTCATAGAAATGCCTAGATATGTTTCTTTTTCTGAGTTATATATTTTCAATGAAAAGGTGTTGCAGCTGATTTTGTGCTAGCAATTGGTGCATTATGCCTAATTTGTCTTCTATGTGAAAGTCCAGTTTTACATATTTCCATTTTTCAGTTTTATGGTCTTGTTTTAGTATTTTGTAATTTTCTTTTGTTTTGTTTTGTTTTTCCTAATGCAAAGGATTTAATTTTGCCTCTCTCTCTGTGGAAAGTACATTGTGGATCAAGGGAAATGTTAGGCATGAGAACCAGAGAATAGCTAAGGACAGAAATTAAAGGAATGAGCAATATTATATTATAACATTTTCAGAGGACTGGACTAAAAGCAATGCCTTCCGAAACAATCACCACAGTTTTCTATACCTAAATATTTGCACATATTATTAATATACCATATGATTGGCTTAACAGTTTAGAAGTAACATATCAGTCTACCAGATGCAATATTCTCTCCGGAACATAATATTTCCTTGGAATATCCTGCTCTTTCTGACACCTCAGTTTTAACTTTTTTCTATAACTTGATCTGAAAATGATGACCAGCTTGAAATCTATATAACTTGAAGGCTTTATCAGTAAAGCCCAGCAGAGTTATATTTCTCTGTTGCTGTGATGTTGAAACCTGGTGAAAAATCAATTTTTCCTTTTGCTGAATGGTATATTTGAAGCATTTAAAAAAGGTGAATGAGTGTGCTGAGGGCCTGTCATTCTCGAAGTACTTATGCAGCATGTGTAGGTACATCTGCCTGTTAGCCCTGAGAGGCTATGTGTGTTTGATGCATTGGATGTTGTGTCAGCAGAAAGGAGAAAAAGAAGAGATGAGGTATATCAGAAAGAAAGGTAATAGCAAATGGTGTTTTGAACAGCCTGTATTCCCCAGTGTAATATATTATGGAAATAATGATTCTGACAAGTGATACTTCTTTGTAACCTGAAGTGATACAGTAGGGATTATGCATGCTGAAGTCATTTAGGACTGAGTACTTAGTTGTCTAGAAATGCTGTAAGAAGTGTATTTCCCACCAACAACTTTGTTATTGATGTAGTGGCAAGAACTAGATTATTAAAAAAAAAAAATAACTGAAATAGTTGAGTTGTTTATTATTATTATTATCATTATTATCATTATTGTTATCATTATTGTTATATTGGTTTAGCTAGCAATAAGAACAAATCGGGTATTGTTCATTGTGTTTTATAGAGTTTATCTCTTTTTTGTGATTTAATACCATATTTTATCTTGTATTTAGGGATGTATTGTATGCTTTAACTCATTTTTAAGCTTGCTCAAACATAGATGTTTCAAAATCATAAATAGGTTGTTAGTTAATTAACACAGATAAGCAATGAGAAGTGGACTAAAGGTTTAAAAGGAGGTTTTGGGAAGCCAGAACAAATAAAACATGACTGCAAAATGGTCTGTAAAAAGGCACAGAGAGAATACAGAGGAAATGATTATACTAGAATAAAGAACAAAATGCTTCTGACCTGTACGGTCTCATTAAGCACAGATGAAGAAATGCAATCGAAAAGACAAGATAAAGATACATATGCATCTCGCCTCTCATGTTAATAGATTGGCTTAGGTGGTTGCTCTAGTTCACAGAGATTTCCTTGCAGTAGCAACAGACTGATGTACGTTTCCAGAGAAGGATACTGTGGCTCCAACCGATTTGATGATTCCCTTCTTCCCCTGACAAACGTGGGGACACAAAATAAGCTTAGGTAACTTACTGCATTTTAGAAATAACATGTGGTATGGGAATTATGTACAACGTAATTGTCTTCAGAGCTACCAACATACACAGTCTACAAGGTTGGACTCTCTTCCTCATGTGGTTCTTCTACCAATGAAAAATAGCACGTTTTTAGTTAGATGAAAAAAAAAAGCCAAAACACAACTGAAAAAAAAAAACAACATCAAAAACAGCTTTTAATCTGACCATTCTTGAATGAAAAGAATTTTAATTGACAGGAAATGTCTTTAAGAGTCCATTTATTTAAGAGTTTCGAATGCTGTTTTGCAATGTTGATAAATCACTGAGATTTTGTTTTGAATAGAAATTCCTTAAGAATGGAATATGTCTGTTTGTGGCGTACTTTGTACAGATGTTAACTAGGAATCTCACATAGTATATTTCATTTCCCCGATTAAAATCTTTCCCTTTCTCTGTTCCTCCTTCTCTGCATTGCTGTTTCTTCCCCACATATGCAGAGTTAACTAGTACCAGAGGAAGTGAGTTCATTTTGCTTCATTGCTTTAAAAAAAAAGAATGCTATGACCAACGGAATGAAAAAATTTGATAAGCTGAAACAAAAGGCAGCAAATGTTGAGAACAAACTCCAATGACCTAGGTAATATAAAATTGTTTCGTGATAAGTATGAACATTAACAATTTTGGACATCTCAAAATGTAAAATTAGCAATTTGAAAACATTTATCTGGATGAGATGGAACATTATACATGAAACATAATGACCTCTCTGAAATTCAGCCAGGATGCTGTGGTACTTATTTAGACAAAGAAGACAACTAGTTAATCATGGCAAAGAAAACTAGACAGAGTAAATTAGTTTGCTGCATTCCAGACTCTTAGCTACGAAAAAATAATATATTCCACTAATTAGAGAGTGAAAATACTCTAAGATTTTAGAAAGAGAATGCAAGAAGAATGAAAGAGAGTGATCCTGGCTTTGGAAGGGTGTATCAACTCATGGTGTTTGCATGATACAATTTTATGATTTTTTCAGTTAGGCAGCCTGTATTAAGGGGTCTTCAACTTTGATTATATTGATTATATACAACATAATAGTTCCTAATGAAAATTATAATGCATGGCTTCAATCCTTAATTTTCATGGACTCTTGGAGTCTCTAATGAAATGTAAATTAATTTAATTTAAAAACCTACATGAATATACATGTTATAATAAAAAAAAGCTAGAAACTTTGCAATTAAAATAAGAAGTTAACAATCATATTTTAAGGGTTTTAGAGGATTATGGTCTAGATTGTGCTGTAGATATTTTTACTTTATCATTATATTTTTATCCATAATGCTATAGGAGTATGCATTCTAGATGTTTCATTTCTATGTTCTTTAAATTAAATAAAAGAAAGTGTGTGTGCTAAAGAATATTAGAATGGGAATTATTCTAATTAGACTCAAGGTGAATGGAAAAAGGGAACGTGAAGCTCACCTGCTTGTTGCATGGGATAAGAGTCTTGTTTTATATGAAGACCGTACATCATTTTACATAGGGAAAACTTTATATACAGTTCTGAAATAAGATTATTCTTTTCTTTACCTAGAAAAAGATTTAAAATTTTCAGAATTTCTGTCCAAACAAGCATTCAAGTATAGAATCAGTACTAGATTCTATACTTGAAAAAGATATAAATAAGTTTATCTGTAATTTTCCTTTCCTTTCCTGTGTCTGAATCTGCTCTCCGGATATGATCAAGTTCTTGCACACATAAATGTCATTTTGCTTGTAACTGCAGGGGTCTGAGGATCAGGTCCTCTCTTTATCTATCTTTTGCATAAGCAGTGTTACACTCTTGAATTATTTCTATTGAGTTGAAAGAGAACAAGGTCAAGTTCTGCATGGTTCCAGTGCCATAGTTGTTTTTTAAAGAGCTATGGTTTTACGGGACTTCTGTGCTACATTCATATAAGCAGTATGTATGTTTGAGGAAAAGCGTGATGTTGGGCTTCCTTTGGAACTGCATATCAGCAGAAAATCTGCCAATTTTGTTTTTTTGTTAAACATGAGATAAGCTGATAAAGCAAGTTACTTTTTCAGTCTCTCACATTTTATTACATCATCTCTTAAACATTTTTAAATGAGAGGCAATGGCTTTATAATGCTTGTACATTGTGGGTTTGTTGGGGTTTTTTTAAATTTCAAAAGGTGCTTGTTTGGGGCTGATGTTAGGAAAATGTGCATGTGTGCATGAATGCAAGCGTGCATGTATGTATGTCTCTTTAGAGTGAGGTGGAGGGAAACGGTTTCCCCTATATTTCATAAGATCTACTTCTTAAATTGTTACACACTTTCAAAAAATTACCAAGACCAAATATGGAAACTTCAGCTCTAAAGAGAGAATGTCCTGGAAAGGTTTGAATGAACGAGAAAGAGGAGATTTAGTCTCTTAACAAAGTTGTTTTCATCACCAAGTCATGTTGTAATCAGATAGTGTGACAGATTCTTTTTTAATCAGAATTGGAATAAGTTATATGAAATAAGCCTAAAATGTGAATTTGTTTCTAAAACATTATTTTTCTTTTTATGTGCATTTCAGAAACATATTTGATAAATATTTAGACTCTTGATTTACTACACATCAATCTAAAAATTTTGCAACCTTAATCAGAATTAGTTTGCTTGATTGTTATTCCGATCCCATCAATTTCAGTTTTGCACTAACTTGAACAATGCCATTTTTGCGCTTTAATTTGATTTCCATTCTAAGTTTATGAACAGTAATAGGATCCTGCTTGAATATTCATTAACTTTGAATTGTGAGCTATGAAAAGGTGCTTTCTTTTACTTTAATGAAAGTGGCTCAGCATGGGGCGGATCAGTAGTGACATTTGATTTTAGGTATCCAACAAATTTACTTTTTATTTATTGACATATCTTGTCCAAACAGCTCCCTCACAAGTTAGTGGAGTAATGAAAGAGAGAGTGCTGCAGAGGAGCGTGGAGCTTTCCTGGCAGGAACCAGAACATCCCAATGGAGTCATTACTGAATATGAAATCAAGTATTATGAGAAAGTAAGTGCTAAGATTATCCATAATGAACAACAATGTGCTGTTTGCTTCATGTTGGCTTGCTGTGTTGTGGAGCAATGTTAAAGCTATCACCTATCAACTGTCTCCTCTTCAAATTCACACTGATTTTGCTCATTTTTAATAACTAGTGAATCACTGCAATTATTGCTGTCATATGTCTCATATATTGTATGTGTAAGATTAAATATCCACTTGAAATCTGCCTTTTTTTCCACTTTTTTTTTGTTCTTGTGAAGTTGGACTTGGATATTTTACGATTATATTTGTAATTTTCCTATATCTTCTACATTGTGTTCAGAGCTTGTTTCATTTCCTTCTGTGTCACTGTAATTCCTGTCTTGTGGTGATAAATCAAATACAACTGTTGACTGTATTTGGTATTTCCTTATGAGCTGGGCAGCTTCGACTTGATGTCTGAAAACTTCCAAAACACTTTCTACAGTTTCAGCTGATAAATATTTCCTATTAGTCCTTTTAAAAAGTCTTAGCATTGTGAAATTTATTTTTCACTTGTTCTCTCAACATAGTAATGAATTGAGGGATGCTTTTCAATAGCAGATGTAGTGATCTCTGTTTCTGGTGGAGTGAAATTGCAATCTTATTGATGCCAGTCTGAGTTTTGCTGTTCATTTCAGCATGTCTAGGGCTTCGTTCACGATAACTTTGAGGTACTCCAGAATAAAAAAATTCTGACAAGCATATAAGTAGGGCCATATGCAACCATAATCTGGATGAAAGACAAGTTAAGGTAGGTTGTGCAGCTACATGTTTTTCATGGGACCTAGGCTAAATGTGACTCCCCTAGATTTCCTGTGAAATTTACTGCAGCAAATAACATATTCCTGATTTTTATAAAACATTCTGGGACAAAAAAGAAAGAATTAAAATGCAAAGAATTTAACAAAGGAGCTACTCTGCGATCATTTGTGAAGACATTTCATCTCTGCAAACAAAATAATAGTACCTCTGTGTCAAAAAGAGCGTGTCAGCTTACTAGTTAACATAGAATTAGGTAATTTCGGACCTGATTGGATCTAATATCAAGTGTCACATCCAATTTTCAGGGCTAAATTACACAAATATACTTATCAAAAGATCTTTATATGATTTGGGAACAAAATAAAAAGTTTATTTGTTGATACTACCTCCCAGTTTAGGTTTTTTGTTTTAATGAGTCTTATAACAAAATTTAGCAGAAGGAATTTTACTAATTTTAGCAGACATTTTTTCTTCCTCAAGCATGTGTGTGTGCATACATGCAGAAATAAAGTCCATATATTTAAAAAAAAATGTTTACATATTTACCAAAGGCAAAACTGTTCTACACTCAAAGAAAACTCTCAAAAACCCAATCTACAAACAAAAAAAAGTGCTTCTTTTTATCTGCAGAATAGTTTCTAATATGTTAAAATTAAGTGAATAATTTAAATAGATAGTGGAAAATGACCCAAGTGCTCAACATACTACACTTTCACAAAATTATAACTTTTAGAATGTAGCTTTTATTATTTTCCCTATGTATTCATGTTACTTTAAATAGGCAGCAGAATTTCATTGCCGGTTTCCTATGTTTGCAAAGAGAAGAACTGATGTTAAACTTTTGTAATGGAAAGAATCCTATCAGTATTATACTCAGTAGAGTGAAATTAATAAAAGAGAATCAGAAGCTTATCCTATGAATGGTCACAGGTAAACTGAACTATATACCTTTAATTCAGTGAGGTGATTTTAACACAAATACTTAATTGCTTGTTTTCCTTCTAAAATAATGCAGTTCAGCTAGAAAAGTACTTCATAAGCTTCTCACTTAGAATGGGAGAGGTGGTTTAAGTTTTGTTCCATTAGCTTAAAAGACAAAAAAAAAGATCTGAACTTTCAGCTCCTTTTAGAGCCAAATTAAATCAAACATTTTTGTGGTTCTGAAATATTCCGATAAGTGTTTTTTTCACCTCTCACTTCTGGCTAGGGCTGGAATGGAAACTGCCTGAAATCTCCAAGTAAGCCTGTCCTGTGAGATTTCTAGCTCAGGTTATTTTTATTGCTTTGTTATTTATTTATTTTTAATGCAAGAACTGTTGGCAATTCAAGTAAGCCTCATTTATGCATCAAAACCCAAACTCTGAAATTCCACTGTGGCTTACAGTCCCGAACCTGACTGTTTACAGTTTCCTTACACTTGTTTCTCATCTCTCAAGCATTCCTGTTCTTTCTCACAGATCAACATACATTCCAGCACGGTCCTCACTTACAGATGATTTAAAACCTCTTGGAGAAGATATGAAAAATTGTTACTAGCTGAGCTGGTGGGCTTGCTCAAATGACAGACTGGGCAAGACCCAGGAGAAGCCATTACTGAGTCTCAGAAAAGAAATCATATATGTTGTATTTAACCCTGTATTTCAGCAGAAGCCTTTGCTGCTTTACTGACTGCTGAGGGGAAGGTTCTCCATCATTTTTAGCTGGTGAAGTGCTGTTGAAATGATTACAGATTTATTCCTTCCCTCTGTATCCATCTCATTAGCACAGCCTCGTATGGCTCACGCTTCTCTGGTCATGTGGTGCATTCAGATGGTTGGTTAATTCATCTCTTCTGCCCTTCAAATCAGGGTTGCATCTGCCACCAAAAATCAACAGGGCTGCACATATCTGTGCTGAAAGATAATCTGGATCAGTAAATGTGAGGAATAAGAAGAGCTTTTTGAATATTATAATGAACTCTGATACAGCTTTTGTAGTATTTGAAAGTTATTACTCATAGGGTTTGTAATCTTACAGCTTCAAATTTTGGGGGTGGCATACTGAGCTTCTTTCCTTGGGTTCTTCTTGATGCCATAGAGTCAAACCTGAGAAAAGACTAAAAGCCAGAGGAAAAAAAAAACCTAAGTGAAAACTGAGTTAAGGACATCAGAATTTGGTACAAAATCCAGCCACTTATATATTAGCAATATTGTATTTTTTAAAGGTATTGGAAAGTAACAAGGGAAGATGTTCTGACCATGAAAGAAGAGATTTTCCTGTCCTTGAACTGTTAAACTCCGCAGGTCCCCCTGGAAAGCTGTGGTCAAGCTATTTTCTCATCAAAATTTAACGAAATGTAATCAGAGGCAAAGAAGCAATCATTTTATGTCTGGGTGTTTTATGAGTAACAACATGAGCATCCCATTTGAATTTTATGTTACACTTAGAGCTCCTCATTGCATTGACAGTGTTTTGTAATACTCCACAGAGTACACTTTATTTTTTATGTTGGAAAAAAAAGCATTCAGCAAATTGAAATAAACTACCCAGGCTGGCTGTCAGTTGCTGATGTGCAACCATGATAAAATCTGACCTGTAAATGTCGTTTAATCTTTTGTCTTATTGTTCCCAGGATCAAAGGGAGAGGACCTATTCAACAGTGAAAACCAAGTCCACTTCAGCTTCTATTAATAACCTAAAGCCAGGAACAGTGTATGTTTTCCAGATTCGTGCTTTTACTGCTGCTGGTTATGGAAATTACAGCCCCAGACTGGATGTTGCCACACTAGAAGAAGCCACAGGTAAACGATAAGATTTATAGGAAGTTAACACTTTCAGTAGACATAGTACGTAGAGCAAGAAAGGAAAGAGTCATAGGCAATGTTGTTAAAGCTAGAAAGAATGAAGTTCTACTTGAAGGTGAATTTTTGTCGCTGTATTTTAAAGGATGAACTTCAATTAGTTGTTTTACAATAGAACTACAAATTACACTCATAATTAGCTGGAGCAGATTTGTAACATATCGGGTTCTTCTCCTCTGATGTCCTTCCAAGACAATGAATTTATTTTTTTTTTTCATTCAAATGCAAACCTCTTTCACTCCACAAAAGAAGTGAGTAGTGGTGAGCTGAATAACTCTACCAAATTCCCTTGTAACTGGGGAGAGGAGGGAAGAGATTTCAGCCCTGAAAAAACTCTTTATGGTTTTGTTTATGTGTGTGTCTTGTTTAAGCTGCATGTCTGTCCTTATTGTCTTTTGAGTTCATTGGCTAGTTTCAACTTGGTTTAGTAAAGAAACGAGGTCTCAAAAGATGCTAGGTTTCTTTAAGGCTCATGTAATAAGTTGTAAGCTGTGTAAAGAAAAATCATCCTCTCAAAAACCCTCACAACGAAAAGTGTGAAGCTGAAGTACAAGCTCTCTCAGTATAGTACACCAGAGACTCTGGCTGTGCCATCTCTGCAGAGGGATAACATTTTGGGAGAGCTCGCTCTTTCCTTGATGCTGAAACTCATCACATCCCTCTATTTGTCTAAAAATCACACCGATACCTTTTTTCCCCACCAATCATATAAACACATGCATGCACACTTAAAGAAAATCTTCAACATTTGGGGTCTTCAGGAAGAAAATCTTGCATCACTGAGACCTGGCAGCCATGAGCCCATTCATGGGAACTGTCTGTGTCCTTGGCAGCTTCAGCACTCTGTCACAGACCCAAATTTGGTTACTCTGCTGCGGGTCATTTTCTTCAGGTTGACCTGCCTAACAGCAGGTCAGCCAGATTTGGAGCTGGGAATACATAGCTTACAGGTTCAAAGGGTGCGGATGACAGCTCTATCTAATGTGTGGACACACACTACTGCATCTTATTAATTGCAGCCAGGTGTTGCCTGAACAATTTGTGGGTATTCTTAAAAAGCAATAGTTAGGTGTTAACCTTGATTCCCTACAGAATATGAAAACTATCAATAATGAATAATAACACATACTAATAGACATAATTGAAATAGTAATTATCATAATAGCAGCAATAAAATGTTATTACTAATATTATTAGCTCTGTGTCTGATAACATTCTTGCCATCCCTAGAGTTCTGCTTTAGAAAGAGTCGATAGCAGGATCTCCATTTTGCAGAATGGTAACCTGAGGTACAGCCAGAAGTAATTTCTTATTTTGAGTAGGTTTCTGGAAAACAAATTAAAAATCTGTCATAATCTGTCATAAGTTTCTGCTAATTAGCTAATTTATGGTCCATAGGGGTTTAAAGTTAGTAGACTAAAATGTTTCCCCAACATTTCCTTAATTACTTGAGTATTTTTCATATGCTGAATGTAAACATACCAGTAGCCGCTAAGATTAGCAAAGATAATTTCAGAGGTAAACAGTCTTGTCTTGGTCTCTCCAACCATGTATCATAAATCATAGAATCATAGAATGGTTTGGGTTGTAAGGGACCTTAAAGATCATCTAGTTCCAGCCCCCCTGCCATGGGGAGGGACACTTCCACTACATCAGGTTGTTCAAAGCCTCATCCAGCCTGGTCTTGAACACTTTCAGGGATGAGGCAACCACAACTTCTCTGAGCAACCTGTTGCAGTGTTTCACCAGCCCCAGAGTGAAGAATTTCTTCCTTAGATCTAATAGAAATCTAACCTCTTTCAGTTTAAAGCCATTGCCCCTTGTCCTATCACTACATGCCCGCATCAGCAGCTTTCTTGTAGGCCCCCTTTAGGTACTGGAAGGCTGCTAGGTCTCCTTGGGCCTTCTTTTCTACAAGTTGAACAACTCCAACTCTCCCAGCCTGTCTTCATAGGACAGCTGCTCCAGCCCTTGGATCATATTCACGGCCCTCCTTTGGACTCACTTCAGCAGCCCCATGTCCTTCTTATGTTGGGGGCCCCAGAGCTTAATACAGTGTTCCAGGTGGGGTCTCAAGAGAGCAGAGTAGAGGAGCAGAATCACCTCTCTTGACCTGCTGGCCACACTTCTTTGGATGCACCCCAGGACACGGTTGGCTTTCTGGGCTGCCAGCACACATTGCTGGCTCATGTTGAGCTTCCCATCAACCAATACTCCCAAGTCCTTTTCCTCAGGGCTGCTCTCAATCCATTCTTCACTCAGCCTATACACGTGTTTGGGATTGCCCCAACTCATATGCAGGACCTTGCTCTTGGCCTTTTGAACTTCATGAGATTCTCACAGGCCCACCTCTCAAACCTGTCAAGGTCCTTCTGGATGACATCCCTTCCCTCCAGTGTGTTGACCACACCACACAGCAAACTTGCTGAGGATGCACTCGATCCCATTGTCCATGTCACCGGTAAAGATATTAAAATTATATCTACTTGAAAGGTGGTTTTAATTCTTTTAAATTAAGTGTTGCCTCATTCATTTGAATATGCAAATATCATAATGTCAGGTTAGATGTCACAACATCAGATTAGATATCACCTGTAGCTGATTGCCCAAGTACCAGGTCCCTGTCTCACCCTATGAGCCTGAGGACACTTTAAGCACAGGTAAGGGCAGACTTCCCTGTCCTGCTGGTATTTCCCTGCCACCATCATTGTTGCAACACCAGTGATGGGTAACCATACCGTGCACCCCCTGAAACAATCGTCTGCACTCCACAATCATTCCTCTAAGGGCATTCTGGCATCTTTATTTCCACCAAACCCCAGTGACCATTCCAGAAGCTGGTTTTTGAATCACCCTTACACTAACAGGCTGAGTTCATCACACAGAAGGGAGAAGCAGCACAGAGTACATGAACAGAGGCAGATGTCTTTGACTGCTGCCACTAAATTTGTACCAGACCATGCTCACAATCAGACCTTTTTTTTTAATTTTTTTTTTTTTAAGATGTAAAAATACATCACACATTGCATCCCACTGATCTTACCAGTTGGACAGTGTACCATGTCCCCAAAGTTTTCCAGAGTCTAAATAACATCCTGAGCTTGCTTCCAGAATGTGCCAGTACTCAAAAATCTGTGAGGCAGTTATGCAGAGCAACCCACTCACATATGTCAACCTCTATGCACTCAACTTGGCTGCTAGATTAGGTGACAGGCTGGGCTGGGTATTCTTCCAAACTTAGTTAGATGGATGCAGCTTCGTACCCTGGCTATTGTGAGAGGATGCTGCCTCTTCTTGACTTCCAAGTGAGATTTGCACTGAAATTCAATGAGAGAAGGCAACAGTTTTAGGAAATGCTATATTTACATAAATTTGACATTCCCATGTTTGGGATTGTCTATTTTGATGACCTGGTAATGTTGCAGGAACTGAGTAGAATTACTTTTGCCCCTACACTCTTGCATAAGATAGTGACCACTAATTTCCTGAAAGTTCCACAGGTGGGATATATGAATGCCTGCACTAGCATCTTACTGACTTGAGTATCTCAGAAAGTTATAGCTGCTCAAAAATAAGCATTTGTTCTTTTCAGTTAAAGACCAATATGAATAATGAGATCTTCCTTATCTGCATTAAGTAGAACATAGAAATAAAACTGGGGGGGGGGGGGGAGGAAGAGGAACTTCCCCTCAAGGCATATTATTCTATATCTGTGTAGAATAACAAGGGGTGTGTTATTTTTGAGGGGGAAGCTGCTGGTGCAGGTCAGTGTCAGTGACAAATAAATCATGTTGATTGGCTCACTTCTCCCAAGACAGAGCAAAGAAAAAGCTGATTTATTTGTTTCTATGGGAACCTCTGAAGTCTGCAACAGGAACCTGATTCTGTGGAATTCATAAAATCCTCGTGTAGACATTCCTGTTCAGTTATTACTACCTGCAGTTAATCATATTAACATACCATCTACAATTAGTTAATCAGATATCAGTTGTTTCCTTTTTTTTCTCTTTCATCTCTCTGCTGCTTCCAGATGACTCACACTTTCACAGTTCCTTGCTCAGCATCACTGCCCGATGCCTTTTCCTTTATTCTCAGTCTCTTGAGTTAGATCCTCACTGTTAAAAACCAGCTCCATAGAGTTAAGTAGAGCTGTGCTCATTTAATGCAACTGAATATATGGCCACCCTCATTAGATGTCGGACAAGCAATGTAATTAACAAACCTTGAGGTTTCTCAGGCTAAGTATTTACATCCTCAGTTTACATTAATGTGACATGCATACATTTGAATATATTAATAGCATTGACATGTCTGAATAAAAAGAGCAATAATGTGTGGATATTTTAGCAAGTAAATTCTCTGAAGCATGGAGAATTCCATTTTGTATATGTAGAAGCTCCTTTCCGTTGCTAAACAAATGATAAGTAATAATAACAATTTACAATGATTAATAGCAGCAAAAGATATAAATATGTGAACTGGGAAATCTGTGTTAATAGATGGTGTTTCATCTCAAACATTCTTCTTGTAGTTAATACACTATTTCCTTGGCTGCCATCAAAGTCATATCAACCAATTTTAGGGGGGAGGCCATGAGCAGAGCTCTTCAGGGATTATTCTCTGACTGTCCCCCCTTACACAGATATCCAGGTCTTCCCTGTTAGGAAGGAGTCAACCACTGAGCAAAACAGAAGGCAGCACAGCCGTAGGAGAGAGTGGGAGTAGCTGGTGCTGGCTTGCAGCTAATGGTTGTACCACTTTGACCAGTCGATTCCAGCACAGCTCCGTTTTATTCCATGTAGACAACCATTAACTCATCCAGCATTTGAGTGAATTTGCAATGGAGGCCTTTCTTTAGGCTAACTTTATGAATTTAATTGTGTCAGGCAACTGAAAAGGCAAACGAACAGTCTGCAATTCATGAAGGTTGACTTAATTTTTTTGTAGTTTCTTTGTAGGAAATAATTTCAAACTAATCTGATCTGTGCTCTGTTTGTAGCCACAGCTGTTTCCAGTGAGCAGAATCCTGTTATTATCATAGCTGTGGTTGCTGTGGCAGGAACCATCATTCTGGTCTTCATGGTGTTTGGATTCATCATTGGGCGAAGGTATTGCACCTTGCATAGGCATAAGCATGTCTGACCTCACTCTTGTGAACTCCTGAGACATAGTCTAATCTGGGATGGTAATTTGCAAAACTGAAACGGAAGTCATTTACAGTAAGGACAATTTTCATTTAAATCCCGTTATCAATTATACGGTTCGTCCTGTTACTTAGGCAAGACACACTTAAATCAAGATGTTCTTTTTGTCCTATGTAAATGTGCTGTAAAATGAACCCCTAGCAAGTTCTTTACCTTTACTCCTCAAAGTCCCTCCTTCTGTTCAGTTTTGTCATGTGGAAGAGTCTGACACTTTATCTGATCAGCCTTTAAATCACTTTACATTCAAGAAAAAGAGGCACAGCAGTAAGTTTAAGAATACCCTCATGTAAAACAGTGTTCCACTTTCAAGTTCTTTAATCCTCCGTTTTATCCGTAGAAGCCTTTCAACAGAACTAGAATTTTCTTTTTAGGACCTGTCCCAACTGGTATTTGATACAAAAGCCTTTTGATTGGAACTATTTGTGATTTATTTAAAACACTGCTGTCAAGAGAATTATAGCTGAAACTTTCAAAGGACCAACAGGAGTTAGGTGCTCAGTGCCTGAAAATCCCAGCCTGCAAAGCTGATGTTGTCTGGACTTTAGATGTGAGGAAGTAAATCATTATTTACCAGTAAAATTGGCGTCTTTCTTTTCAGACATTGTGGCTACAGCAAAGCTGATCAAGAAGGGGATGAAGAACTTTACTTTCATTGTAAGTGTTTTGCTTTTTTTTCCCCCTTTCAAAAATTCTCAACTGCAATAGTGTAGACAATACTAAACACTCCATGAAATACAAAGCTATAAGAAATTAAGAAATGCAGTGTAAATAGCAAGTAGGAAGTTAAACACTGTAAAAATGTGACCTGAACAAAAAGAACGCAGATTAAAGTCAACATTGCTCTCACAGACGGTTTTATTTCTATACATGTGTATGATATCCTGTTGGTTTAATTCTGCTTTTTTTTTTTTTCCGTTGATTCCTTTGAATACGTTTCACACCATCCTAATGATCCCTCTGAGGTGCAGTATTTGAGAGACCTTTGGTTAAGTGACTATATGATCTTTACCTCAGGCAAACTTCAGATTAAGAAAGTGTGGGTCACTGCGTCACCCTAACAATGAAGCTGTTCTGCTCAGAAGCTGTTTTCTGCTAATGTGAATGCTGTGGCATGAATATTTACAAAACATAATGTCCTTAAAAATAGAATATTTAAAATTAAAATAAAGGTCAGCTACTTCATTACTGTTCTGCGTTCTAGAATCACTTGCCTAGTGAAGAATAGCACCTAAAGCCAATCTTTAAAATCACATCTACCATCTGAACTTATGCTAGAATCCTCAGAAAACTAAATAAAATACATCTTTCTTGGGTTAATGACAGTTGAAAATTTAAGGGAAGATTTATGCAAGAATAGTTTAAGTTTTGTCTAAATATTTTTTTAAAACTTTCTTATCTTAGTGCTTTCTCACTTTATTTGTAATATCATTTTGACAGGAGAAATTAAAAATGTTTTCAGTTCTTCCTGAATCGTTTTTTAACTCAGGAAGTATGGTAAACCTAAGTTGCAAAGTTATTTTGAGCATCCAGAATTGGAAAAACACATAATAGAATTAAACTGAATATAAGTTCTGACACAGAAAAATGCTGGGTTTCCACCTTCTGCCTTACCTAACAACTCTGATATCAGTAGAACTTGCCATTTAGTCATGCTATGCTGTATGTAGTCTTTGTTGTCTACCAATAATTGCAGCTGTAGCTTAAATCCATCAGTTTTGGTGTTTTGTTTTGTTTTGTTTTTTTTTTTATGAAAGCAATATGGTTTCTTGTACTTTACATATGTTCAAATCATGAGCTATTATTAGAATGTAATGTCACATGGAGAATGAAGTAGCCACTAGTCACAAATTTGTAGCATCTTCTCAATGCATGCCTCTTTAAATGGGTAGTTCTAGCCAAAGCTCCACTCAAAATCAGGTCAAGATTTTTTGTTTCATCTTTCTGCCCTGAAAAAAGCAGATCAGCTTGAATTTGTTCATGATCCCTGAGTTTGGGTGTGTTGCTATCTAAATAATGTAATTTAAATGCAGTCAGTATTAAACTAAGTAGTAACATCATCGCAGCTTTAGACAATCAGTTCATAATCTACTCAAGAAAGGTGGAAAATAATAATGGGGTAAGAAATATTTATCATGCACTTCACAGTGCAGTTGATTTTAAAGAATTAATCAAAAATCTGATGTTACTTAAATGTTACCATTCTTGAGTGATGGATTTGAAATTTGCCTCTCATAGATGCATTATAAGCTTTTCAGGTCTTCAGAAGAGCTCCTGCTTTCACTTTTAAAATCTCCATTATGTCCTTGAAGGAAAAGATCAACTATCTATTCTTGTATGTCAGTATATAAACAAAAGGAATATGCTAGCTAAATAATTCCTTTCTTTGTCTCCATTATCAGTGACATTTTTGTTTCAGTGAAAGTGTAAATGAATTAATGTGAAAGCTGCTACTTAATGATGAATACTTGATCCAGAAATGGTGAGGCTTTATAAGTGCTCACTTCCCTCATTTTGCTTTCAAAAAATCTGGTTATCCAACAAGTCAGTCAGACCAGTTAGCATTCACATTCTTTTTAAAATCATAGCACCAAATATAAGTCACTTTTTGCCAAGCCAGTCTTTTATCATCTATTGACTGAAGGTTTAGTGTTTAAGTTTTTTCCATAACCATATACAGAATGAGAAGGAACCAAGTGCTGTGGTCACCAGCTCGATCACAGAGCTTTAAACACCAGTTTGGTGTCCTTTAGCTCCATAACATCTAGACACTTTCTTCTGTGCTGAGGTACCAGATTGGATTTTCAAGAACGTAACTTACAACGTAACACTTACTTAACACGAAAACTTACAAGTAACAATTTTTTTAAAGCAGGTTTTAAAACACTGTATTTAATAGAGTATCATATATTTTGTTTCAGTCCCTCTCAACTCTCTGTGACCTCAAGTGCTACACTTGAAGATACAAGTACAATGGAGGAGTTTAGTCAAGCAATTCAGATTTATATTTGGTTTCCTCCTACCATTTTCTTCTAACAATGTCTTCAAATCCAGGCCAGCACTATTTCACATTGGTATGCCAGGAGAGCCTTGGCCTGTCAAAATGTTTTATGACAGCTTGAATAAAGAACCATCAGAGGCCCACTTGAGATTCGCAAGGTTACCTCCAATCCAGGCCCCTTATCACAAACACAAGAGGATGACTCCTTCTCCATCTCCCTGCATGAAAGCACTATTATAGGAGGTTAACCTATTGCTTTCTTCTCGTTTTTTCTAGTCATTTTTGGTTTTAAGAAATAAATGCTTATCGTTTTAAAAATTTGTGGCATTATCAATGCAATTGGAAGAATATCTATTTAAATACCTAATATGGCAGATAATAACATCTGGGTAACATTTCAAATAATTGGATGTAAATTAATTTGATTCAAACAATTTCTCTAGCTTTTTCCTTCTTATGAAGGTTTGGGGGTTTTTTTGGTCAGTAATACCATCTGAAACATAAATACACATGATTGCTAAGTTATTTTTCAATATATTTTCAAATTTAAAGTATTTTATGTTCAATTAAAACATTACAAAGCAACCATAAATTATTTATGTTTTGTATTGACTTTTAATCCTATTCTTGTATATCAGTATATCAATTAGCAGAGGAACATTCTTACATTTTCATATTGAGTTTTAATTTGCTGATTTAATTAAAGCTCAGTACTGTGATCCTTGTGAACCAAATTTATTTCATAAAAATTACTTGGTTAATAGATTTCAAGGGTTGCTCTACTTTCACCAGAAGTTTCTATTTTCACCAGAAGGGTAAAAAATAATTTTCCTGAATCAGCAGCAAACTAAGGGAAAAAAAGTAGATGCTGGCCAGAGCGCTTTCTCTCTCTCTCTCTCTCTCTGCTATACTGGAGAAAGAGAGAGTAAAAACCAAGTTGCTGCGTATTATTAATTTAGATCCTTGAGAGAGGGAATAATTGTGCTACAGAGCCCATTTTCCCTTCCTCTACCTTCACAAGTTGGCTACAAGTGTTTCTCATGTTCTTATTCCTATGCAAGAAACACACTTAAGGATATAAATTCTAAGTGCTGTGAATAGTTTAGCTTTGCTATTGCCACAATGTGTAAATATATTAAATAATTTAAGCAAATCGAAGTAGGTGGAGAAGCCTTTCAAATCCCACTGAAAGAGGTAACATAAAGAAATGCTGTTTACACAACCTGGGAAAAGAGGATAAGCTGTCCTTACACAGAAAAGAAAGTTTCGCTTCCTCTGCTGCTCTTACACCCCTTTCCCTGCTCTATTTTTGCTCCCACTCAACCTTTGCATTTTATTCCATTGAGCACTATTTAATATTTATTACTTCTTTCACTTCAAGGTGGAGATGCAGATGCTAATGTTAGTCATTTTTAGAGATGGGATTGTGTACTTGTGTCAGCATGCTTGCAGATGATGCCTAAAACTAAAGTTGCCTCTCAGAGAGGCTCTGACTCAGGCAGTGTGGAAGCAGGTTCACTCTTCCAAGGAGCACTCTGCATAATGAAATTCCTGGGCTGACTGCACAATAAGTGCCTTTGCTTCATCACAGTCATGCTTTCTTACATCATTACAGTTAAATTTCCAGGCACCAAAACCTACATTGACCCTGAAACCTACGAGGACCCAAATAGAGCTGTCCATCAATTCGCCAAGGAGCTGGATGCCTCTTGTATTAAAATCGAGCGTGTGATTGGTGCAGGTAAGGCTGCCGTGGCTTCCCGATTCAACTGTTCCATTTAGCTAGGATCGAAACTCATACATCATAATGACAGGCGAATAATTATACCTCGAGTATAGAGGAACTTTTTGCATTTGCCAGAGTGGTTAAAAGCAATGAAGCTGCACTCGCTTCTAAAATGTAAAAACAAATGGGAGGGGTGGGGGGAACAACAAAAAAACAAATAAGTAAATGAAGAGTCTTGCTTGACATTGAAAGCTTGTAGATTTCTAACTCTGTATCTGCTGTTAAAAATGTAACTGGGGGGAGGGGGCCAGTTTTGCTGCCTGTTTTTTACTGTCAGAGTAAAGGCGTTAGGCATGAGTGCAAATTGTGCTCGCTTTCCTTTTGCAAGAGGGCTTTTTGACCTCTGAATTTTTGTTCGTGTGAGTAAGGAAAACTGGCTGCAGCACAAAATCTTAAATAGAGACTAGGAAGGTCTTGTTTCTGTATAACAAAATCTTCCCTAAGGCTGTTGGGTTTTTTTGCCATTTTTCTTTTTGGTATTTTATGAATACAAAAAGTTATTGTTTAACTTCTCATGACTGATTGTAATTGCACCAGCATTACATTGCCTTTCTTCCTCTTGAACTGTCTACCACCTACTTAAGCCATGGTGTTCATGCTCTAAAAAGGCAGTTTCATTTGTTTGCATTAATAAGATATGTGACATTTTTATTGCACTACTCCATGTAGTGAAATTAAGTTTCTGTGGGTAAGAAAAATATCAAATACTTTGGATTCCTGGAGGAAATTTGCTTTCCTGTTGTTTTATAAAAGTATTAGTAGAATACTTTTTAAATCACCCTGTAGTTTGGCAAGCACTGTAAATTACACACTGTGGTATTATTTAAAAAGAGAAGAAATATCTCTTAAATAAGCTATTTTACCTGTAAAAAAAAAATCTTTACACTTTGAATTCACAATGCCTATTTAAAGTAACCTCACTCATGTTGTGTCATGTCTTAATCGAGGAGTAGTACTGTTGAAATTAACAACACTACTTGAGCAAATTATTACTTCAGATGAGTAAGAGCATAAGAATCTATCTCTTGCTAACTAGTAATTTTTTTGATGCTAGAATGGCAACGTCTCTTCTAATAAATACACAATATGCAAGATTTAAAATCAAGATTAGCATAGAAAAATTCCTGAGCTTTATCTTTTGCTCTGAGTTAAAAAACTATCGGCAACAGTTCAGAGCACAAAGGTATATTCAGTTGGACTTTGCTGCTGTCTTCAGAGCAAAATGCTGAAAACGCTTCCGTTGCAAATACAGTTTAAAACATGTTTTCACTGTTATGACAGACTAATTCCAGAATGTTAATTTTGTTGACTGCAGATGAATTTATTCTTGATTTTAATGACTATAACTGATAGCAAAAAACCTAACGTGTGTCAGTAGACATTCTGAAGAAAGTTAATTAGAAGCGCTAGGGTGAAAGCAGATTGCGTATGGGGTTTAGCTATGGCTTTAGCCTGTTGATGTAGGTAGCAAATAGGAGTGAAATGAAATGCAGTCCAGGAACAACAGAAACAGCTGAAACTCATACACCGGAGAAGAATATAGAATTTCTACTAGAGATAGCACCAGAAAAGCCACTTAGCAGTCTCAACGTGCATCAGCAATGCTGGCCATGTTAACTATTGAGTAGTGCCATGTCTCTCTCAGACAAACAAGATGCAGGTATGCTTGTGTTCAATTTGCATGAGGGATATGTGCTTTCCTTGCCAGCATTTTCATTACCATCCCGCTGTGGCCACCTGTCAGATACAGAATATGGTGTCCACTGTGTCGAGTCCTTGTTTGTATCACACATCCTTTGTTTCAGCCTTTTCCTTGTTGACATGCTGAGCTAGTGGCTGTGCGGTTGTGCAGTATTCCCACTCTTGTTGTCATGTTTTCTGAATCCTTTTTGGGAGTCATTTCAGCCGAATATAGTATTTTCTTGGGAGTAAAAGTAGTTCATTGGCTAGCATCCTGGCCTGAAATGCATAACATACAAGTTCAAGCTTGTGGTTTGCCTGAGTGTGAGTGGTCTGGTTTTGGAAATCAATCAAAATCAGATCACAGAGAACTGGAAAGGAGTTGAGCCTTAGTGTCTCCCATGCCAAGTATCCTAATTACCTGGCTCTGAAGTATCACATACACACACACACACTCTCTTATACTCACATCTCGTTTTCGGCGTGGAACAAAAACAATTTTGGAAGGTAGTGCTGGAGAAAATTATTACCCTTTAAGAAGTTCTTGTGGCTAGGAGCTGTGAGTGAGATGAGTGGTGAATTCATTAATAGTCATCCATATTGCTAATGAAGTGCAGGAAGGAGGTTAAGGCACCAAACTAAGGGCTTGAGAAGCTAGTTGTTATGTATGTCCCTGCCTCATTATACTGATAGCTATGAGGTGGATATTCAGACCACAACTCCAGTGCCCAAGGATGACTGAGGCCTCACCTGTGCAGGCAGGAACAGTTGTACTCTGTCTGGCCAGTTAGCTCAGGTAGAGCACGGTGTTAACAGAGGTATATGGAGTTGGTTGAAGCTAACCGTAATTCAGCTAGCATAGAACAGAGGGAGAGGAATTGGATCCTGTATGCAATCATCTCCTATGAGATTCGTAAAACCGGCCATGCTGAGTGGAGATCTACCTGAAAAAGTCAGTAGGAAATATTAAGGTTCAGCCAAAGTTCTATCCTTCTGGCTGGAGAATGGTAGGGCTGACACCTTTTTCCTTCTCTAATCTCTGCTGTTGGGGATGACAGAACAGAAGTGTTGAAACGGCGATGGTGTCCTAAAAAGAGCTCATCCATTAGGACACTTCACCTTCTTCCTCTTCAGGCATTTAGCCCTGTTTCCAGGCATACCTCTCTCCACTGCCAGCCAGATGCCTTGGCAGTGTGTATGTGCACTTAAGTCCTGATTCCACCAGGTTTTTCAGGACATCAGCCTATGTTCCAAAGGGATTCTCTAATCAGGCTCTCTGTGTTAGTCTTTTCTAATTCAGCCATTTCTTTTCAGCACTCACCCTATAACATGTCTTGGATATAGGTGTGTCTGCATACTTGTGTATACTCAATAGCTTAATGTTAAGGCACTCCACAGGTATGCAGGAGATAAATTTCTGACTTGATTGGATTTGAGGACAGACTTGGATTTATATCTCATGTACTCCAGATAAATTTGCAAAGTATCAGATTATTACATATTTTTGTGATGAATCTTTCTCTTTTTAAAGAGATGTTCCCCTTTATTCAGTATAAGATATGTAACTATGCTTTTCTCCTATATATCCCAAGAGATTTTTCTTCCTGGCTACAGAATAGGAGGTCTCATTCTCTCTGCTGACACAGCTGTGAAACAAGGAACAATCCTTAAATCTTTCACAATCTCAATAGTAGTGAGGTAGATGTATTGCCATTCAGTTCCACATCTCGTGTGCTTCCATGCTCTTTCCTGTTCAATGGAGTCCAATTATTTCTATCCCAAATTGTGGTTGTTGAGACTTTTTTTTTCATATTCTTGCTGGCTGTTTGGCCATTTTTTTCACATGCTTCTTCAAGTTCCAATTGTATATTAGTTTAGAACCTTTTACAAACTTCCAGCATTTGCTTGTGTTTGTTTAATGTAACAAAATTATTATAAGTCACACCTTTCATTTCATGATCTGCAAAGTAAATTATCCTGCTTGAAGGTAATAATGTAGTGCTTCATTTAACACCATAATGATGTTAAATTAAAAGCAGCTCTGAAAGAGCTGCCTTTTGAAAGAAACTAAAGATAGTAAAGAAACCATGTTGAGCGGAATGACATTTTCACTTAGAAATGGTATTACTATTTCTGTATTAGCATTTTCTTATGAAAGCCACTTCATTTTTATTTCCTATTTTTGAAAAAATGTAACAAATTACTAACAAGTCTTTTAAAAGATTGAAATAACACTCATGCAGATTGGCTTAGTGTGAAGTGTTTACTCCATGAGGTACTTAGTCAGCAATTCATTTGAAGCACGTGCCTGTTTTTGTGTTCCTAAGGAATCTGTTTCAAATAATGAACATTCACGTTAAATTTAAACACACACTTGGACGGCTAGTCCAAGAATGTTGATATTCTAGTTGGAGTAATTCACCATGGATCTACTTCATTTTAGGAGAGTTTGGTGAAGTGTGCAGTGGGCGTCTAAAGCTTCCTGGCAAGCGTGATGTCGCAGTAGCCATAAAAACTCTGAAAGTTGGCTACACTGAAAAGCAGAGGAGAGATTTCTTGTGTGAAGCAAGCATCATGGGACAGTTTGACCACCCCAACGTTGTTCACTTAGAAGGGGTTGTTACCAGAGGTAAGCAGCGGCTCGATCTGTCAGTAAATAACAACATAATGGCAGAAATTACTTTAGCTTATTCATGGTCAAAGATTCAAATTATAAACTGACCGCACACTCCTAATGGATTTTCTCCTGATGCGTAACTAACTAAAACAATACTTACTTTATGCTCCAACCTGAGGAAAAAATCAAGATGCACGCATGATTAAAAGATGAAGTACTTTGAAACATGTTATTTTTCTAATTTCATTTAGCCTCATAGACCATGCAGAGAGATAAGGTTTCTTATGGCCTTTCATATTATCTGAAGTGTCATTATTCCAGAGTCCTGTTCACACAGCGAGAGTTAGGAAAGCACACTGACGTTTTGATTTGTATGGTTTAATTTTGTGAATCATGACCACTTTTCACGCAGACATGTAAGAACTTAGTAGAGCTCAGTAACAGTGCTGGAGGCTTCAGAAATGTTCGTTGTCTCAATGATTCAGTCTTTCAAAGGAATAACATGTGTTTTATCAAAAAAAAGGCACTCCATTTGTGTTACAGTTTCTCAAACAAAATCTGTCTTCTTTTCTTTCAGGGAAACCAGTCATGATTGTAATAGAATACATGGAGAATGGGGCCTTAGATGCATTTCTTAGAGTGAGTACCAGAATAAAAACGTATATAAACATATTTTAAGTTACTTATATTACATTATATATTGTCACTTTTAAAAATACGGATTTATATATGTGCACAATATATGTATACATGCATGATATTCATATAATTAAAATGGTTTTCAGGCTGAAATGGAGCTTGACAAATACTAGCAGTTCTCTATGTTGTTTCAGCAAAACTAGATCAGAAATGAGAGGATCAGACAGCATCACATGGGAATATTCTAGGAATTTAAGTGATTTAATGTGGCATAGACATGGTGGGTTTTATTATTGCCACAAGCTGAACTTAAAACCACTGACACCTGAAGCCCCATCTTCTGCCTTTTGAGAGCAGAATTCTATGGTGTTAGCATAGTGGAAATCAGCACACAAGAATCTCTAAATGAACTATGATCATGTTTAAGAGAAGAACAAAGGAAAAAGAAGTGCAAGTTCACAACAATATAACATTGTTTGAATGTGTTTTGAACTGGCCAGTTCTGACTCCCTATCGGATGTACAAGACAGTGGGGGATGATGTATGAGCATTCTATAGAGAACAGAAAGGTTAAGTTTGTTTGATAAACTCCAAGCTATGAATAGAATTATCAGTAGCTAGGGTTCTGAAAGGAGATATAATTCTTATTTTCTTGATACAAATAATTATGCTGAGAGATGAAGAGCATAGAGGCAAACTGTAAAGAGCTGTGCATCACGTACTATGTCATAGAAGAGGCTTGCCAGGACTTAGCCAGAAATTTATAGTGATTAGCAAGTTTTGTTACTTCTAGTATGTTAACTGCTCACACATTTCTTAACTGGATGTACTGTTTCATCTCTGAAGAAAATAAAACTTGTGTTTGAAGTGAGTTTCTTTGCCCCAGGATGAATTGCCACAGAAGTAGTAAATAAGTAGAAAGCTAAAGTTATAAAACTAATTCTTATTTCTCTTCTCAGCTTTACTAACAAGAATTGCTGCTCCTTTCTTCCCTCCAGAAACATGATGGGCAATTTACAGTCATTCAGCTAGTAGGAATGTTGAGAGGAATTGCTGCTGGAATGAGATATTTGGCTGATATGGGATATGTACACAGAGATCTTGCAGCACGCAATATTCTTGTCAACAGCAACCTTGTTTGTAAAGTGTCAGACTTTGGCCTTTCCAGAGTTATAGAAGATGATCCAGAGGCTGTCTACACTACTACCGTAAGAGAAATCGATGGGTTTTTGTAGTATTGAGATGTGGTTATTAAGGAGAACCGTATCTTCTGGAGAATATAAATAAGAGAAATACATTAATTGCTTGAGAAATGTTAACCAGTCAAAAGGAAAAGAGTCTCTGCAAAAATCTGGCTCTAATTAGAGACTGATATTTTTGTAAGAACATACACTTTTATTTGGTAAAGTTGTAAAAATTTTGCACAGTATCTTCATTATTCCCTTCCTCATGATTTTCTGATTGAACAAATACGGAAGTCTTACCCATAAAAATTTTAATCATCTCATTTACTATGAGTCAATTAAAATATTTGTAGGCTATTACTATTTTTCAGACTAGATTTTATCTCACCAGAATGTTGACTAGCTTGAGGCTAGACTGTGACAAAGCTCAACTCCTGTATTTTCCCTTGCTTTTGGGTGGGACACTTTTCTTAAATAAGCATTCATTGGGCACACTATGGTCTTTATTCTTTTGTTGAGCCAGCTCCACTTTCCCACCCATGGGGCCTCTCTGTACCTATTTTCTCATGCTGAGGGAAGGAGGGGCCCCTGGAATCTGCTCCGAGAGGTGCAGGGATCCAGGAAACTGCACCGGCGTCCGTGGCTGTCAGTCCTGCCGCTGGGCTCTAAGTGGGATCCTGGTTTAAAAATGTCAGACCGAGTGTTCAGAGGAGCCGTATGACAGTTCAACGGGATTTATATGCACAGGATGAGGTGCCCCTCACGTAGCTTCAGCCAGCCAGGAGTTAAATGACTAGTGTAAATCAGACATCTAAGCAGCCCCTTAAAATCAATGGAGAGATAAGCACTTCCAGATAAATGCATCCAGCTTAGCTTAGACAAGTGTCTAAATTTCTATGGTTCAAGTGTTTTAAGAGTCTAAACTTCCTCAGACTCCTTTGATAATTCTGCAGTTGGTCAACTATAGTAGATGATGTAAGTGCTGCTTTTGATGTTGATGGAAATAATTATAAATGCACTCTATAGAAGATGATTGGGAAATTTTGTAGAGAAAAAAGAAAACTTTCTTCTTTTCTTTTTTTTTTTTCATAGGGTGGAAAAATTCCAGTGAGATGGACAGCTCCAGAGGCTATCCAGTACCGCAAATTTACATCAGCCAGCGATGTGTGGAGTTATGGAATAGTTATGTGGGAAGTAATGTCTTATGGAGAACGGCCTTACTGGGACATGTCAAATCAAGATGTATGTTATACTTTGTCTGTGAGCGTGTGCGTGTGTGTGTTAGAAAAACAAAAATTACATATTGTAAACACATACATATGTGTTTCACTATACATGCATAAAGTGTTGGTTTGAAAATAAGATTTATCAAAATACTGTAGGATTCTCAAAAAATGAAAAAGTTACAGAGCTTTCACTTTTTACCTAAATCTCTAAATCATTCTCCTGCCATGTGGATGTTGTAGGTTTCTGTCCCAAGTATCAAGTAAAACTGGAACATCAAAAATAGTAATACATGCTCTTCACTTTATTACACTTAAGCATTTTTCTGATTATTACACTTTTTCTGATAAAAAATAATTCAGAGGTTTCTGACCTCAGAGCAATGATTAATCAGTTGAAAAAAGTCGTTAAAAATCTGAGTGGCAGTTAATGACCTACTTTGGCTTTTTCAAGTTAATTATGCTGATTTAACAATACTCTTGTTTGCATAAAATATGACCCACAGCAACAGGTCAGCAGTAATAGAACAGATGGGTGTTATTCTTGATTTCTGACAAGAGTATCTATTAATATAGAAAGTACACAGGAAAAAGCCCTGCAGGTGAGAAAGATGTCACAGAGAGTCTCATTTAAAGTTCTTCAGGTCAGGGGTTTGAGTGGGTTTTTTTATTATTATTTTATTTTTTGATTGAATGATCGACATCAAAGTTGAAAAAAAAAGATAAAAGTGTAAATGATGAGTCAGTTTGGCACAGTGCAAAGTTGTTAATATTTGACAGGTCTCAGTGTCAAAGATTTCATGGACTGTCAAAATATGGGCAAACAAGTCCTTGGGGCAGAGAAAGAGAAATATTTACATTCCCTAGACACCCAGTAGAGTTTCATTTCTTTTGACACCTTCCTTCTGTACTAGATTCAAACATAAAAGAAGTCTGACAGGAATATAAGATGCCTCAAAGGCAAACCTTACCTATCTTTCAGGGAACAATAAGCAAAAACTTTAAAATAGGGGAGAAATTTTGGTATCTTCATGTTTCTTGTTGTATTTTGAAAAGTATTCCCTCTGTCGAAAGCTGCAGGTAAAGTGTATGACTGAACCTTTTTCATAAAACAGCTAATTACCACTTCTTGCAGTTCTATCACTTTTTAGTGTTTCATAATAATCTTCAGTAGCACATAGTTAAAAGATGCATCAATTGCTTGGTAAAATAATTTCAAATATTCTTGTATGCTGTGATCTTCAAGCGTGTCCTGAAACATACTTCCCAAAACAAATACACAATTTACCAATCCTGTAGATAAATCTATGATACAAAAATTTAGAATCACTTTATGATGAGTTATTTATTCTCCTTCACAGTTACCAATGGGATTATTTAACTGGAATAAAAAATGCTAAATGTGTCTCTTCTAATTTTGCATATGCATTCAGGCAGTTTATATATGTTAAGTGTTCCATTTTGCCTAAAAGTGGACGTGGGTGTAGTCATAGAATACACTAGATCTCCTAAAAAATACATCTCCCTGACTTTGGATCTTTAGATAGCATTTAATTCTACCCCTCTTCCTTTAGATTGAAGGAGGATACAAATTTATGTTGCAATCTCTTTTTAAGCGAAAGTCCTCATTTTAGCAGCGACCTGGAGCTAGGGTGCACCAGAAGAGCACTCATCCTACAGTCTCCCCACAGAGGTACAGCGGGCTGAGCACAGATGATACACAGAGTGCCCCCAACTTCTCTGAGCAGTGAGCTCTCCTCCACTTAATCCTGGCTGGTAACAGCAGCCCTCAAACCACTGCACCTCTACCCTGTTCCCCTGTTAGACTGCTGGTGTTTGCTGGCTCTTGCTCTCATTCGGTTACTGACCCTAGTACAGATTAGTTCTTCAGAAAATGACAAGGATTAAGCTTACATATTTTTTTCTTTGCTGTACTCCTGGCTTTATTATCATTATTATGATTATGAATTATTATTATTGTTGTTGTTGTTATTATTGTTATTATTATTATTTACCCAGAAGCAGAGCAATAGCATTACATTGTCCAGTTACCCGTATTTAGAACTTCTTTGTTGGCAAACAGTGTATACAGTGAACAGACCTGGCCCTCTTCTAATCTACTTTACATCCTCAGATAGTGTGATTATGATAAAAGCATACTTGACTCTTAACAGTATTACCTTTTTCTGGTTTTGCAGCAAAAGCAGAATTTGAAAAACAAATTATGGGAAGTGTAAATAATATAAATCAATTCTATTAGTAAGAACTCCAGCAGTGTTCTCTTTGTAGCTCTGCTTGTTTAAAAATAAAATAACTTTCTGCATCTATTTCTTATCTCTCAGAACTGATTTTTGGAAGCCCATCCCCACCTTTGTTATGAAAATACACATTTGTAGTACCCTTCAAAATACCCAAGTCTTTCATAAGCTTTTTTTTTGTTTTTAAAAAGAAACTTTACTTATCAATATTTTAGAGTGGTTTTCCAATGTTTTGGATATTCCCAACAATTTCATCCATCTCTAGCTAACTCATTATTTTTTTTTAATTGCCAGTGTCACGATTCTTGCTCAGAATACACACCAAAGAAGCTGATTCTGCAGTATCCCCAAAGCCTTTTAAAAATAATATCGTCTTGATTACTATTTCTTCAGATTTCTCTGCAGATCATAGTGAATGTGAAAATGTCCTGTTCATGATCTTTTAATTCATCTTTTCACTCTTAGATATAGTCTTATCTAGATTTGCAAGTTCTAAGAGACTTAAATATTTTGGTAGTTGTGTTGCTGTTGGTGTTATCTACTTTTTAATTCCTCATTGATTGTCTCTGCATTCTGACCTCTTAAGCAACTGCTTTGTTTGTAGTAAAGCACATATAGTATGGATGAAGGGTTTGATACTTTTTACCTTTTAGAAGGTCAGAAATTTCTGCATTACTTTTCAAAACACGTCAGTTGTCCTGTATACACTGTAGCTTATTTTTCAGTTTTATTCTACTGCTGCTTCTAAGCGTAAGGAGCTGTTCTTTTGTTTTTCTAATACTGATCTAAAACATCTTAAATTTTACTTTTAACATTTTCTTTCCTATATAGTATTTGTCTTCCAATTTCCCTGTTCTTCTGCAGAAATCCTCTCTCTCCACCCTGTCTGACAGATAACTTCACTGTCTTTAAAAGATCACCACCACACTCATTCTTCAAGGTGCGGACGTTACTTCAGGAATTGAATATTTCTCATTCATTTTTGAGTTGTAGGACAGTACTGTCATTCTAAATGTCCAGACAGAAAGCTGAGGCCCAGGGAGATGAGGCAAATTCCCTGAGGTCAGAAGGACGTTCTGTGACACAAAGCTGCAGTAAGTGCCCTACCACTGGGCTGTGCCTCCTCTTTCCACAGAACTTCTTTTCTGCAAAGGTTTTGATACAATCATGGATTTCAGCCAGCTTTTTGAAGGTCATTTCATATTCTTTACAGTTCTGTCTACTTTGCAGTCCAGTGCTTTTGCATTTTCTCATACAACCTATGAAATATTTTCTATCTGAGGTTATTATTTTCATTAAACCCTGGATATTCACCAACATTATTTATCATACCAGATCTACTTCCTAGGACTACGTCCAGAACAGCTTCTGATCTTGCTTTCTTTACAAACTGAGAGAGAACACAGTCATATGCACTACCCTTCAGGAGCAAGCACCCTTCCTTAGCAATTCTAATACTGCTATGCCAGTCAATGTCAGTATACTAGAAATCCCCCATGAATGGTGTTTTAGCCCTTTTTCACAAGCCTTTCTTATCTGTCTTGCTTCCTGATGTGCTTTCTTATCCTGCCCTCAAGCTTTACAGCAGTTTTCTGTGATTTTACTTTCCCCTTTTTGATTTTTTACTTAAATCCAAATGGACTTGGCTAAGGAAGTCAACGGGTAGGTGTCATTCTTGGTTCAGACATTTATGCTCTCCTTTGAGCATATCATCATCTAGCAGCATCTCTTATTAAATCTAACTTTCTATTTAGGTGATATATTAAAATACCTTTCCAGGTCTTCCTCTCTCACGTGGCACATTTCTGCTACTTTATCACTAATGTAACATGGCTAGACATAAAGTACAATTTTTTTCCCCTAATAATTTCTGTCTGCTAAACATTTTTCTTGGATCCTTTTATAATCTCTTCAAGCTTTTTGTATTTTATATGTGCATGCACAGATCCCTATCCATTTACAAGTCAGTTCCTTCTACCACACA